ACGAGGTAAGGTCATCGCCTACGCCTCCCGACAGTTGAAGACACACGAAGTTAACTATACGACACACGATCTTGAACTGGGAGCAGTGGTGTTTGCTCTGAAGATCTGGAGACATTACTTGTATGGAACGAAGAGCACTATCTTTACCGACCACAAGAGTTTACAACACATATTCGATCAGAAGGAGCTCAACATGAGACAACGACGGTGGGTCGAGCTACTCAGTGATTATGAATGCGATATTCGTTATCATCCGGGTAAAGCCAACGTAGTAGCAGACGCCCTGAGTCGGAAAGAATATTCTGGTCGCAAGGTCAAGTCACTATCAATAACCATCCATTCACACTTGTCTAACCAAATTCAGGCGGCCCAACTTGAAGCCATGAAACCTGAAAATGTGACGGGTGAATCCCTTAGAGGAATGGACAAGAACATAGAAGCCAAGGGTGACGGAGCCCTATACTTTATGGATCGGATCTGGACACCGAAACACGGTGGTTTCCGAGACCTAGTCATGACCGAGGCGCACAACACTCGGTATTCCGTCCACCCAGGTTCAGATAAGATGTATCTGGATCTTAAAAAGCTATACTGGTGGCCTAATATGAAAGCAGAGATTGCTACCTTCGTAAGTAAATGCCTTACTTGCGCAAAGGTAAAGGTCGAGTACCAGAAGCCCTCTGGTTTACTGCAACAACCAGAAATTCCAGAATGGAAGTGGGAGCGGATCACTATGGATTTCATAACCAAGTTGCCCAAGACAACAGGTGGACTTGATACCATATGGGTCATCGTTGATAGATTGACCAAGTCTGCACACTTCCTGCCTATCAAAGAAACCGATAAGATGGAGAAGCTTACGAGAACATACATTAGGGAAGTCGTACGATTACATGGTGTACCTATATCCATTATCTCCGATCGAGATAGTAGGTTCACCTCTAGATTTTGGCAATCACTACAACATTCCCTAGGAACAAGGCTGGACATGAGCACAGCCTACCATCCACAGACTGACGGACAGAGTGAGAGGACAATTCAGACTTTAGAAGATATGTTGCGTGCTTGTGTAATTGACTTTGGAAAGGCGTGGGATACTCATTTACCCCTCGTCGAATTTTCCTACAACAACAGTTATCACACGAGCATAAAAGCAGCACCATTTGAAGCTCTCTACGGCCGAAAGTGCAGATCCCCTCTGTGCTGGGCTGAGGTGGGTGATACCCAATTAGCGAGAGGGCAAGCTTCCGACAGTACTCTCACTGGTCCGGAAATCATTCGGGAAACGACAGAGAAGATCGTTCAAATTCGCGAACGATTGAAAGCCTCTAGAGACCGACAAAAGAGCTACGCAGATAAACGCAGAAAACCTTTGGAATTTCAGGTGGGAGACCGAGTCCTTCTCAAAGTCTCACCCTGGAAAGGCTTGATACGTTTCGGTAAGCGTGGGAAGCTTAATCCTAGGTACATAGGGCCTTTCGAGATTCTTGCAAGAGTCGGCCCCGTAGCTTACAAACTTGATCTACCCGACACACTTCGTAACGTACATTCTACATTCCACGTATCTAACTTGAAAAAGTGTCTTTCCGACGAGACTCTCGTAATCCCACTCGACGAATCGAGATCAACGAGAGCCTCAACTTCGTGGAAGAACCTGTAGAGATCATGGACCGTGAGGTCAAGCAGACAAAGCAAAGCCGTATCCCTATCGTGAAGGTTCGCTGGAACGCCAAGCGAGGACCAGAATTCACCTGGGAACGCGAGGATCAGATGAAACTGAAACACCCTCATCTCTTCGCTTAGTTATTTGTAACTTCTTATTTGCTTAAATTCTAATTTCGGGACGAAATTCCTTCTAACGGGGGATGATGTGACAACCCAAAATTTTCATTTGTACGAACATCATCTATTCAATAGGAGCTAGTCCAATTTCTGTAAATTTCAGACTTGTCCGAACAAGTTTGTGTACATTAGGGTTTACGTTTCTGGACATATCCGGAGAATGGATGCTCCTATGATCGTGAAACTTGAACATTGTAAGTTTCACAATGTTATAGTCCGACTTCCGGAATAAAAATATTTTCTGTCAAAATATTCCAGGACTATAAATAGTTTTCAGAACTAAATTAGTTCATTATTTACAATTCCAACTAGAGAAAAGCCAATTCTCACTGATGGATCTTCGGGTTTTCATCCCGGATTGTGAGTCTGCTTTCCTAAACATGTTTTAATGCTTACTATATGCCTTATAACATCATTAAAGGTCCAAAATCATCAAGATTAGAGGAGTTTACGGCCAAAGATCACCTAGGCCGTAAACCCCTTTCAAATGGGCAAACAAGCCCTATCTTGCCTCCTTGAGCCTTGAGACTTTAACCACTAGTTCTTGTGCTTGATTTGGACTTGAAAACACTCCCAAAATGATATTGTTTTAGGAGTTTACGGCCAAGGAAAGGATCTTGGGCCGTAAACCCCTTTTTGTGGGACAAAAATCATTCCAAGCACACCTAAGGCCTTAAGACAAATTACCTTGCATACTTGGGACTAGAATGGAGAGTAGAACACATCTAAACTACTCCTTGAAAGGAGTTTACGGCCAATGAACATCTCTTGGGCCGTAAACTCCAAGTGGTGCCCTAAATATGTGCATCTTGTCCCCATAAGCCTTAGATAAATTCATGGAAGCCATCCTTGATGTTTAAGAGCCTCAAATCAATTTAAATCCAAGAGTTTACGGCCGTAAACTCTAGGGTGAATGCTTTAGGCCGTAAACTCCCATATGGAGTGTTCTAGGGTCTTAAACTACTTCACATGTTATTCCAACAAAGCTAGGAGTGAGCTAGGACCAAGATAGCACCACAAAACACCCTAAACAACCCTTTATGGAGTTCACGGCCATAAACCCATGAGTTTACGGCCGTAAACTCCAAGATGTGGGTTTGTTGGGTGGTAAACTCCTATACAAGGCTATTTGATGTTTCAAACCCTTTTGCCTTGTCCCGTAACAACTTAGATGCAACCATTTGAACCTTAAACACTCATAAGAGTGTTTACATGTTCCTAATTGTGTTAACTTACTTTGTTAAGTTATTATGTGGCTAATTAGTTATATATATGCTTATTATATGATAACTAGGCTCGTACGTGTGAACAAGTCTCCGTTTGACACTTAGCACGGTACCCGATACCTCAATTCAAGCGACTCACCACATGTGAGTTCATACCCCTTAAATCAACCTTTGAAATGATTTTAAATGTTTTAAACACTTTATGGGGGGGAATACAAGTCAAATACTTATAGTTATTGCTTCAATCACATGTGATTGCCTTTAATCACATGTGATTAATAACTAGGAAAACAACGATTTTTACAAATGTTCAACTGTTTATCAAACTGTTTACTTCAAACGTTTTACCAACTCTTTTTACTTATCAAATGTTTTATTTAAACTTGTTATACTTCTTATAAATTGCATGCCTATATACGTATAGATGTATAAATAATGTTTAAAAGGCTTAGGAAAGCCACCTATCCTATTTCCTTTTCCTCGATTTGGATGTGGTCTGGTGGAGCTTCGGGTGACCATCCGAAGGTCGTTTCAACATTAATTATATATAATATATACATGTATAGACATAAAAGTACTTCCAGATTCATATACAGCAGTACATCATAGCTTGTTACCATCGGGGTAACACATACAATACATACATATACTAGAAACAATACATATACAATGATGCTAGAAACAATACATATACATATACTAGAAACAATACATATACAATGATTCTAGAAACAATACATATACATATACTAGAAACAATACATATACAATGATGCTAGAAACAATACATATACATATACTAGAAACAATACATATACAATGATGCTAGAAACAATACATATACATATACTAGAACGAGAAACAGTACATATACATGAACACTTTATTATTGTGATTTAAATCGGAGCATGACTTAACTGTCATGGCTCGAGTTGTAGCCAGAATTCTCTTGAAAGGAGAGCGTTGAGTTTGCGTATAGATCTATACTGGATTGACAATCCTACACCTTGCTGCTAGCTACAGCCGGACCTGCAGGTCTGCGGGTGCCAAACGTCATTCCGTTATTACGACCATTCATTTGTCGTTGTTACTAGTCGATAGTATGGTACAATTTATCACGTAATGCCTTAATATAAATCCGGTTTAAGGTAGTTTAGTACAGCAGTAGTTCTTAAAATACAAAGGCTACAGTACTACATTAATTTACCCATTACATATTTTAGTGATAACCTCACTTACACGTTTATGTACAAACTATATTTTGATAAATGATAGTTACTTTTGGGAAATTACACACTTTTACATCAAGCGAACATACAAAACAGTCAGGCCTTGGTAGAAGGCTTCTTTGATAGAAAATATAGGATTTTCTGAGAGATTCAAACTTTTACAAACATTGCAAACTTTTACATACATTTTACAAACTTATACTTGATACAT